AAAAAGGAGAATAAACAAACTACGAATCATCATCTTGGTCGGGAACCGACTTCCTCTTCCTCGTGTATCTCCTTGCAGAAACTGTTGCCTTATCATCCGCCTTAACCAGCTCATCATTAACAGGCCTAATTGATGAGTTCATCTGGCTCCTCAGCCTCAATATTTCTCCTTTTGCCGATGCCAGTTCCTCCTCCAGTTTCTTCCCTCTCCTCTCCAAATTCTCCCTTTCCTTCCCAAGTCTCATCACAAGGTTATGCGCATCTTCCATGTTTTCTTGGGCTTCTTGAGAAACTTGCTTTTGCTCTACGAGAGACTTACGGAGCATTTGCTTTTCATCTTCAAGGAGAGAAATGGTAGACATAGAAAGCTCTAGGTCCTTTGAAAGAACCGTTGCGTTTTGGTTCATCTCTACAAGAGATTTAGTAGCCTCTTCCAAATCTGCTTCCAGAGATTTATGCGCTTCTTTGTCCCTCAGCATTTGAGTCTCTAGAACCTGCAACTCCTTATTGAGATTAGCAACCACATTCCTTTCTTCTTTTAGATCATAAGCAGCACTCTCGGCCTTTTTATAGACATCAACCAACTCCTTCTGTAGGTTGTCCCGGGTGTCAGAAACCGAAACTAGTTCCTGAGTTATTATCTGTACTTCTTCGTTTGCCTTCCTTAGGAGCTCCTTTGTTGCAGTTAGCTCTGAAGCTAACAGTTCTGCGCCTCTTCTTGTCTCATCGATGTTCTTCTGAAGTGCTTCCGTAGTTTCAACAATGTCAGACCTCACCCTGGTAACTTCTGCTTCAAGTCTAGAACAAAGGTCTCTTGATTGCTCGAGTTGGTTCTTCAGATCATGAGTTTCATTTCTTGAGTTTTCCAGATTTCCCTGAGCAATATGAAGCTCGTGTTCCAAATTCTTTGCAGCATCAATCTCTTCATCAAGAGCTTTTTTCAAATCAACCTTTTCTAGGGTTAAATCAGTAATTAGCTCTTTATTTCTGTTTACTTCATCTGAGGCAATGACAAGCTGTTCCTGAAGCTGTTGCAGTCTCTGTAGATGTTCCTCCAAGAGCTGAGCATCTGAAGCTGCTTTGTTTTCTGTAGTTAACTTCAAGTTGTTATAGCCATTTTTTATCGCATCGTGCTTTTCTTTCAACTCATTTCTCTCAACAACCAGCGAGTTCAACTGCACTTCCAAACTATGTACTTCGGCATTCTTCAACTCCAATCCTCTCTCATTTTTCAGGATTTCATCCTTGAGTTCATTTTTTTCTGAAGTCAAATCCTGAAGCTTGCTTTGAGATTGCTGATACAGAGAACTAAGTTCTTGGAGCTCAGCTTCTTTTTCAGTTAATAAAGTTCTACTCTTTTCAAGCTTCTCTTCATTGTCTTTGACCTCCATACTCAGTAAGTTCATCCTCTCGTGCAGAACTTCGATTGAACCAAGTTTGTCCTTTAGCTCCGCCTCTAGTTTGTTCTTTTCCTCTCCAGCTTTCCTGAGGTCACCTTCAAGTCTATGCTTTGCAATTTTGAGATCTTCGACAAATTTCTTTTCGTTTTGGACCTCTCGTTCGAGGTTATTTATGGTGCTATTTGCTGAACACAGCCTGTTAAGTAACACTTGTTGATCTTCACTCGCCTTCTTCTGCTGCTTAATCCGCTCTTCCTTTTCTTTCAGAAGCTCAGATTCAACCCTTTTCTCCATTGAAACAATGGTAGCTTCTTTTTCCTCCATTTCACCTCTAATCTATGCCACAATAATTGCAGATACAGTTATTAGGCAAATCAGAGCAAAATCAACCTTAGTTGAGATAACTAAAAACTCCATGGTTAAAAATATGTTGAGGTAAAAGTGTACCGAATCTAGAGAAGCATCAGTTTTGGCTTTATCCTTCCTAGCAAGCACATAGAGGCCACCTAGAACCCCCGACCCACATAGGCCGATCACATTTAAAAGAAAGAGGAAAGGGTTCTGGGACTCACTGCCTTGAATTGTTCTTTGCTGACCACAGTAAAACTTGTTTCAGAGCAATCAAACTTGAAGACTATATACAAAGTAACAAGCGGATAATATTTGAGGAAAATTTCTTAGTATTCTGCAGACAATTATTTGACAAAGAGTCAGACCTCAACTTCTGGTTCCTCGTCTGTTGCCTTCATTTCAGGAGAGTCTGAAATAAATTCCTCTCAGTGTAGATCATTGCTTTGAGAAGTATGTAAAGAGTTTGAAAAAATCTTAAATTATATAAAATGAAGAATAAATCGGAAAAAATAAGAATCCCCTTTGGGCATTATTTCAATGACAGCTTCACTCAAAAACATGCAAACATTTATTTATCTTTTTATGGAAACCAATGATTAATGTAACACATACCGTAGCTGGAACATCAGAACAACCACAGTTGTAATCGAATCAAATAAGAATTTAACTTTCAATTCAAGAATTCCATCTCATAAAATCTACTAAATGGTGCATAACTCTAATGCAGCAATGTTGTTAAAATATGACCAGTGGTTCTGAAAATTGAAAACTAGAATGTCTAGAAGCATACAACTAATCTTGAAATATTTACTTTTCAATAAGATAATCTAAATAGGTGCAGTGGACATACGAACTGCCACTTAAGAACCCCCAATGCAGCTAGATACCAACCAACTTCATCATGACCAGTTGACAACTCTGAGAAAGTCTACTCTTGGAAGGCGTGAAATGGTTGAGAAAGAAAACTAGTTCTTTTTATGTTTGACTTGACCTTCTAAAAATTTTTTAGAATTTCAACTTTTAAGGTTTCTTAGCATTCATGGTGAATGGAGCAAAACGTCATTATTGACAAGCTTAGAGTGAATAATGGACTAAAACAAAATGGCAAGTTAAGGTATTAAACTTTATTTGCTTCTTACTTTCTATGAACTTTTGGGACTAATGCACCAGAGCAACAAGCAAGGGCGGATCTACGTGTATGAATTTTTTTTACTCCGTAATATACAGTTTTAAAATAATTTTTTGTAGAAAATCAAAAGAACGACCCCGATAAAAAATTAGTTTGCCCCCACTAAGTCACTAACAAAAGAAAAGCTTAGTTTTAAAGTAAAAAATAATCATTAAAAAATATATACGTAACAAAATATTTGAAATATCATAATTATATTACGTTATGATATATTTTATATTTATTTTCTACTTTAAAAATTATTATTTTTATTTAAATACTTGTTTAAAATTAAATTTATTTATTTTTTATCATTATCAAACACTTTAAAAAATCAGAAGTTTCATCCCACCCTTTAGTGTGTATTTGCCCCCAGTTATATTTTTTTCTGGATCCGCCACTGACAACAAGGATCTCACCCGGATGGCAAATTCTTGTATGGTGGCCTTTCATACAAGTCAAATAAGCATTTGCGTATTGCTCACATAAGCATTCTTTATTGTAATGTTTTAAAAAATAAATAAAAATTTGTGTGTGAAGGTCAGCGTGGACCTTGGGTCCATGATATAAATTCTCCTCATGAAAACATCTCTTCCTTTCTAGGAGTAAGGTTGTGTACATCTTGATTCTTTAATACCCCAACCGAGTTGAAAATACATTTAGATTTGTTAATCTTTATATGATAGAGATCTTTATAAATAAAATGAATTTGGACAAACATCTAAAACTGATTTATTGAACTAAATTTCCATTCCCCTAAGTTTTCTTTCACCATTTCAGAGCTAAAATTTCATCTCTCCCTAAATTTCCTTTGCTTCACCCACATGTGTTTCTTCAGTGATTTTTTCCCATGTTTCTCTTTCAAGCTTGGCAAATTTTGATTACCGCAAACAAGAAAAGCATGCATATCTGGTCTTGGAAATAGTAACTACAGTAGGATTCAATTAGAAAACCTAATTAAAGTGTAAACAGCAGCCATCCCCAAAATTAAAGATCATAAATCATTTCCATGGCAAATCCCTAGAAAATCTCCATTAACCATATTTGAATCTCACAGCCATTTCAGGAACCTCATTGGGGAAAGCCCATTGAACAAAAATAAATTGTAAACCACGATAAAGACTAAAGTAATAGTCGGCGCACCTGCTAATGGCTCTTCAAGAGCTCTTGCTCTTAGTTGAAGGAGCGGGAGAAAAGAAATCCCGGTGAAGAGGATCATCCTCCTGTTGCGGAAAACGCCGTCGTTTTTGGTTTCTGCTTGCACAAGGGCCGCTGCTGGCCTGAGCTTTTTTCGGTTTTGCTGCGCATTTCTCGGGGCCAGAATCAAGGGAGAAGAAGAGAGAGAAAGCAACGGAGGGTGTAAATAAGGAGGAGGAGAAGACAGTGACGACGAGAAGATAGAGTGATGGCATGGTGAATGCAGACGGCAAGGAGACCCCATTGCAGAATCTATCTTGGACAGTATTTTTTTCCCCTTGATTGTGGTAGGGTGGTAAGCAAAGCACCTCTACAGCCAACGGGTTGCTGGTATTTCCCCAACCTCGGATTCAACTCCAATTTCTTTTGAATAAAAGTATTTGTACCCCAAATTTTTTTGTACTCCATTTTGTACCCCGCTAGTTTGCACTAACACTTTGTGTTGGTGTAAAACTAATTTTTGTTAATACACCAACACTTTGTCTCCGTGTAAATTTTTGTTAACGCACCAACCTCTGTGTCGGTGTAAACCATCAAAATGTTTGTGTATACCTACGATGTACAAATGGGGTACAATTTTTGGTGTAAGTGTAGCATGGTTGATTTCTTTTTAGGGTCCATTTGTAAACCTGGAAAGTCACGTGCAGAAAATGACTTCTGAAAAATGAATTATTTTTTTGAAGTCATTTTCCTTTTCTGTTGTTTGGCTTTAAGTTTGAAAATGGTTTGTTTCTGTATGATTCATTTTTCAGAAAATTTCAAACCATACTTTTCATTATTAACATCTATGATCCTTACAACACACCTTGTTGTTTTGGACTTTACATCCAAATTCAGAATCAATTCAATAAGAAATATGCCACCTATGAACATAGAGTAAGATGTTATTGAAAGCAAATTTTCTTACAAAATCATAATAATAACGATGTCACATAAGCATTCATTAACTCAAACAAACATTCATAATAACAATCTTATAAAAACATCTGAAAATAAAACATACAAATATTATAAAATAGTCTCAATACTAACACCCATAAAATCTAGTCTAGCCGACTCAATAGAAACTCCTCGATCCATATCTTCTTCAAGTTGTCACTTTTTGCATTGAATATTCTAGCTTCAGTCTCATTTCTCATTAGAAATTCAAATGCTTTACCGAGTTCTCTTTCATAATACCCTTCACCAACACTCATCACTTTGGCAAACATTGCATCATCGTCCACCTTGTTGAATTTTGCAATAGCCTTTGCAACATTCCCAATTTCTTCAACCAAACCTTCAATCACTGTATCATCTAACCTTCTTTTACGCTTCACTCCTTGTGACGAACCAACATTGGATGAAGTTGATTTTCCTCCAGAGCTTTGTGCAAGAAATGTGTCTGTAGCCATCTCTTCAATATCATTTGTATCAATCATATGAGCATCTTGATTAGATTTTGCAAATCTTCCTGCAGCAACATTTCTTCCTGTAACGCCCCAAAACATACCCTAAAATTTTTAATGAATAAATATTCAATTAGTCAAATTTATTTCGATTAAAATAAATAGTTATTGGGCTTTGGGCCGAAATGAGATGTGTTTTGATATCCAATATCTTAATCTGGATAAATCTCATAGAGATAAATCCAATATGTTGAATATTTGTGTGGTCTTGATTGGGAACATGAGTACAGACCCAAATCAAGAATAAATAAAAAAATTAGTTATGTAGTGAACTTTGAAATGATTTATTGAATATGAGCACCTTTTTGAGTAAAGGTCAATTAAATCAATTTTGACTTTGTCAAAGTCAACCACCCAAAAATATGATGTCAGAAAAAGTGTTACAAATAAATATAAAAATTATATCGTTGGATAGAGTTTAAATATACGATCACAACGGTGCAAACGGATTTCAATTCGGAGAAAGTTGGACCAAAAAGTGTTCCCCGACTGGGACCAAATTAGTCCCAATCAGGGACTTGCGTTTGGAATCGTAGGAATCAGCCGTCCCCTCCACTGCGACGCCAAAACAGGAGAATTGGTGTCATCCTCCATGTCTCCTTCTCCATTCACCTCACTATATAAACCCTCCATTTCTTCACCATTCTTCATGAAATTTGATCTGAGAGATAGCCTTGAGTGTGGAGAACGCAGTGGTGCTGTCAATTTAGTGTGAGGTCGCCGGAGTTGAGAGCTATTGTCGCCGGAAGTTTTGCCGGAAAATCTTCAAAACCTCCATTACGCTTCGAGGTAAGCCCGTAGATATATCTAAAGACTAGAATGTTCATGTAGGTTGTTTTTACGTTCATAAATGGTTGTTTGGTTGAGTCTTGTGTTTGACATGTTTAAGAACCAAGAACCATAAACCTTGAATTTGATGTTAAAAATATGTTTTAATGATTCCAAAATGATCTATGAACCTTGGAGAACATTTCTATATAATTTAATTGAAGTTTGGTGATTAAAAATGATAATACTCGAAACTGACCAGAGGAAGAAGATGATGAACAGTAGCCGAAAATCGATTATTTACTCCTAAGAATCGATTAGAACTTTGTTCAGATGAGG